TAATGACTTTATGTAATTTCAGTGCTTATCTCCATTAACGAGAGTGGAATATTTAATGTAAATGTATATGATGAAATGAAAACAGTTTAAAATCGTTGTTTACTTCATTACTTTTCTCTCTCCAGGAAAAAAAAAATCCTTACGCATGGGTCAGAGTTTGCGTGCAGACTCCCGTCAAGTTTTTTTTTATTTTTATAAATCCCACCTTTTATGTAGGAAGTGGCATACACCTCTTTCAGGGCAGGTTTTGTGCGTACGCAACAGTTATAAATGAGGCCCCAGATGTTTAAGTAAAATTATTTCCAAACATTTCATAATTACTGAAGGAAGAGCTACAGGTCTACAATCCTTGCATTCTTTTAAACATGAAACTTTAGGCAATGGTTTTATATATTAGGTTTTCCATAGCCTAGGGACAGTGTGTGTATCAATAGATTCCTGAAAATTTGGTTGCCACACTGGAGCCAACTCATACTGTAAGCAAAATTCTTTATCAGACATGATCCCTCAGGTCCTGCCAGGTTTCCTTCTATTTGTAGACTGAAACATCTTCCTAACATCATCAACATCAATAACAATCCTTTTTATGAAGGTTCATTATAGTTGACACAATTATCAGTCATTTTAAATCTAGTAAAATAGGTATTTAATTCATTAACAAAACAGATTTCATTATCTGTCATGATTGATTTATTTAAAGATGTTAGTCCTGTCATTGTTTTTAAAATATCCCACACCTTCTTATTGTTATTGGCTTTAAACTCATCTTCTAAATACTGTCTATAAGATGCTTTAGCTTTCTTTAGTTTGATTTTTATTGTTTTTTTTCTGTCTGTTTAAGTAATGTAAAGTTCTTATTTTTAAAGGCTACTTCCCTCTGATTCATAACTTCCTTAATATCTTTGGTTACATATGATTTATTATTTGGATAAACTATGATCTCTTTAGTAAGAATAACCAACTGTACGCAAAAGTTAATAATATAATCATGTATCACTTCAGTCCTTTCATCTAGCGAACCTTCAGGAAAAATCTCCCAATCTGTCCATTCAAAGCAAGCTCTCAATTCTTCTTTCATTCGACAACAGCCTAATCACTTTCTTTTCCGGTTTACCTCTTTTAAGTTTAGTCTTGTACACTGGAATCATATGGACCGCATTATGATCAGAGTTCAGTATCGGTGGTCTACACCTAGACACATAAGCATCCTTCACAATCACAAAGCATTTGTCACAAATTGTTTTTTTTTTCTTGTTTCTGTCTCTACATATTGTTCAAATCCCGGTAACACAGACTCCAGGTTACAATGATTTAAGTCTCCAAGTACTATCACTGGTGCATCTGTGTAACAGAGCTGCAGTTCATGTGCCACAAACAATAAAATGCATCCAAATTCTCTTGGCATATAGAAGGGCCTTAAAGTCATGCCGAGGATTTCCACATTTGGATCACAGATCTTCCATTTCATAGAGTACGTTCGGCACCAGTTATCATTTATGTACACACACATCCTGCCCCTTTGGTCTTTCCTGAGTCTTTATCCCTGACCGCTCACACAAAGGTGAATCCAGGTACCTCAATAAGAGAGTCGGGCATTGTAGATTGTAACCAACTTTCTGTAAAGCATAACAAAGATGCCTTGTAGAATTTATTACAGTACCTTGTATAAGATCTTATTATGCTCAGCTTGTTGATCAATGAGTGCAGGTTACTGAAGATAAGGGATGGCAAAGGCGGTCAAGTACATCTATGTCCGGAAGCAATTCCGAATACCACCTCTCCTTCCTTGTTTCTTGCATTTTTATCCAATCATTTCATGTGGTATATTTTTCACTGTCAAGCTTTTGAAAGGACTTGCTATCATCTCTTGAGACATTTTTAAGTTTATCTCCAGAAGTCTTTCGGTTGTATTGCCGTACAAGCGGTAGCTTTATCCTCCAGCTCCCACATGCGATATAATTTTCCTTGATAAATCATTAACAAGAGTTTGTTAAATGTTCAATATAACGTTTATGCGCCAAAAGCTGAACGAAACAGAGCTACTCATTTGATCCGCGCCACACACACCGTTTAACCGCTCGGCTCAAAGTTCAAATGGCAGCGCAGTGCGAGTTTACTAGAGCGGATTCAAAATGCCTCACATCACTTGCAAAATGAAGCACTGCATTCAAAATATCACAAACACGTCTCAAAAGCAAACATTTGTCTTAAGTTGCAAACACCTTTGCCATAATATTATATTTTTGGATATATCTTATACACATAGTTACTCAAAATGTAAAGCTCTACTTTCCGGATCTCCTATGTACAGTACATTTCTGTACAAGATTGAAAGTAATAACTAATTGGCAGAGAGATGTTGAGAGATTCACGGTAAACACGAAAGCAAGATTGAAAGCATTTTTTTACTGTAAGAATTTGGGGTTGGGAATACAGTATTACACAGTATGAAAGAAAAGAAATACATCAACCAAGAGTAGTTGTGCAGATGTGTATGTATAGGCCTATTCTAAAGCCATGGTTGATTGGTATTAAGTAAAACAATGAGTGTTTGCACATGTGAGGAGTTAGTGGGAGGCACTGATAAATCAGTGTGGCATTTTGATTGGTTGTCTTTGAAAAGGGAAATAAAGATACTTCCTGATATTTTTGTGTGTTAAATAGAGAATTGTGTGTTGTGTTTTGCAAAAAAAGTTTATGAAATTGAAAACTGAGTCAAAGGCTGAGAATTAGTGTATGGTTTTGCAGATTTGGCATCTGATTCTGGTGTTTGAGTGTCAGGTTTCAGAAATTGCGTCACAAGTAAAGATTTTGTGTGTAAGCAGTTGAAAAAAAAACTGTAAGCATACAATTCTGTGGCTCCGTCTGTAAAAAATGTTAACGTGGCGATCATCCTCAGTATAGTTGTTATCCTGGAGAAAGCTCAAAACTTCAAGATGTACAGTTACCGCTGTCTAAATTTACGGAGAAGAACACCATGAGCTGAGCCAAGTACAGCTACAGCTACATTTCCCCACATTTTGCATTTTACATGAAACAAAAGCTCTGAATAATGGTTTCTTTTAGTCTTTTTCACAATACAGAAGTGGATTTTTTCCATGAGTTTTGACAAAGTAATGTTAACAGAACCTGTGCTTTTCCACTGATGAACTAAATATAAACACACACCATGGGGGGATGAAGGTTGTGTTTTCTGGCACATTTCAGTCTTTTATATCATGCTAATTTCTGCTAGCATCTTGTATAATATTAATGTATATGTAATTAATAAAGAATGAAGATTGTGTGTTTATGTTAAAAACCTTCATAAAAACATCTCTTGCATGAAGATCTTTTCTTATGAGTAAAGTCTTCCACTGGATTGGTCACTTGACCCACAGTAAATCACACCACTGGTTTAACCTTTAACAAAGTGTTTGTTGTCTCTCTGTGACTTTAGCTTTGCTAATGTGTATTGGGTATGATGGTGCTCAGGTAGAAACAGAGCTGTGGGTCATTCTGGCTGGTGCAGTTTTAATATTGTCTTGCACACTGAGAGAAAGATGCTCAACATTTATACCTGTGCATATGGTTATTCAGTAGGTTTTAAGTATTCATTAGAGAGAGAAAAAGACTCATGAATATAATTATTCAAAAGATTTTATTTTGCACATAAAAACGATATAAACTGTTGACAGGTTTCACACTAGGTTTATTGAATTGTGTGGCCTTATTTGCAGTATGAAGCTGGGATTAGTTTTGGTATGTGTTTATTGTCTCAGTAATCCAGGAGTTGAACAGGCAGACCTAGTGGAGAATGAGAGGGATTATAATGAGTATTATAGTATTATTATAGTATATCACAGAAGAAGAAGAAGAAGAATTTTGAACATACTGTTAGCATGTCCTAGACTATTTTCTAGGAGATAGATAGATAGATAGATAGATAGATAGATAGATAGATAGATAGATAGATAGATAGATAGATAGATAGATAGATAGATAGATATGTTAAAAAAGGCCATTTATTACTTTCACGTGTGTTGTGCATCAATGAAAAGTAAGTGTATGATATCTGATCTTTGTAACTATTATAGGTGATTTACATTTAATCTGTTTTATATATACTTTTGCCGTTCTGATGTACATTAGCATATATAAGCTAGCAACATGAGACTATCGTGTCTTTAAAATGATGTTGTGCTCTATATATATATATATTACATTTATGCTTATTTGATTATATTGAATTTAAATTTCATGTATGATTCGGTGCAATTTAATTGTCAAAGCTTTAATATCTAAGTATTCTTAAGTCGTAAATAACCTAATGCGTATGTGTGTGGAACAAGCCCAGACAAAGCACCGCTGTTAAGCTATATTCTAGTCTATGTGATAGCAAAGCTGTGTGCTGTTTAATCTATGGCAATGTATGACATAACAAGCGTTGTTCCACCTAAATAATCCTTAAATTGCTGTATTTAATCCAATATTCCGTATATGTATGTATATCTGTTTTCTAACATTGTTTTCTAAAGTTACTACTAAGTATGTTTATACTTGTGTGCATTTTCTGTTTTTGTAGAAAACCACATTCACATGTATACCCCGACAAATAACTGAGTGTTGTAGGGAAAAATAAAAAGGTTACTCCCAGATATAAGACAACTGTCGACTACATCTATCAACTAAGTCTCTTACCGGACACTCTGTGGTGGGTTTCAAATCTAACCGGCAATCTAAATCAAAGGTGCTATCAACAGCCAACTCATTCTTTCAAGATAGATAGATAGATAGAGCTTTTAAAATGTACAGTTGTCATCCTACCTTGGTAAAGATACCAGGCTGATCTTTCGCAGCACAACGGCCACCCGCTGACACAATACCTTGTATCTCACCATTACACACCATAGGACCACCTGAGTCACCCTGAGCAGGATGAGAATGAGGATACATTTTTTCATTTTTAACAGGAACCATGTTTTGAGACCAATAACTAATGCAATGTCTGTCTTTGGTTTAATGCGTTGAAAGGTGTAGTACTGTGTCTATAATCCGTTACCTGGCAAACACCCTTTCCTCCTTTCAGATATCCAGCACAGAACATGGAGGCAGTGATTAGGTCAGGGTAGGACTCATTACAGTCACGATCAGAGATGATGGAAAGATTCAGACACTGCAGCTTATCAGAATCAACCGCTATAAAGAAATTCATTCAATTTTTCATTTTTAGCAGACCGTACAAATTAGTCACCATTTAGTCATGAGAGTGTGTTGCATTTTCGGTAAAAAAATAAATTTTAGTCTGTTCTTAAATTCAAAAGTGTCCTGTTGTCATAATTAAGAAAAAGGGCCCATTAAGTCTTCTTTTTTTTATTTCTCAGAAATAAATTTTAACTAAATTTTTGTTATTTTTTGTTTTTGTTATTGTGTTTGTCAAACTCCAAGCCATGTGGTGCAACCACCATCAAGCACGATAATAACCAGAAAACTATAAAGCATCTGTCTGAGCCGTAAATAAGAAGATACTCTGGATGAACTCACTTTCATTCATGGTGATTCCCCAGCCGGAGACTCTGCACATGGTGTTTGGAGGAGCACAGCTTTTGGGCAGGTCCACAGGCTTCACAAACTTATTGAGAGTCGCGGGTTTGCTCAACTTGATCAGCATGATGTCATTGTCAATGGTGGAATAGTTAAACTGCGGGTGACGGATGACACGCTCAGACGGGATGGACTGCTCGCTGCTCTCATCCACCGCAACGTTGTGTTTACCCAGACGGACCTCTATACGACTAGCAGAGAGATTACGATAAAAAAAAAAGTTAATTACTTACTCATAACCCTGAATGTTATTTTCCCTCATGTGAGGAACTTACCTGCACTACAAGTGCCACCAAAAAGACTGTTTCAATTTTTACTTTTAAACAATCTCCCGTATTGCATTAGTCAGACAAAAAGAAGCCACTACCCCAGAAACAACTCATGACCATAAATTTATGTGGGTGGTT